TTGTTTTGAAAGTGGGCGGAGATATGGGCGGAACTAACAGTTTGTTTTGAAAGTGGGCGGAGATTGAAAGGGTGCTGGTAAACCAATTTATCTTTTAATAAATCAAGTCTTCCCATTCAGAAATAACATTTCAGATGTCTGAAATGTCATGCACTTTATTCAAAGTCAACATTTTAGATTTTTTTTTCCTTTACTGAACATAATAATAAACATTTACAGCATAGGGAAAATAAAATTCATAAAAACACAATAGTGAAAGTAATTCCAAGAGTGCGGACAGATATTTTTGTGTACTGTAGGCTGTATCCATATCATTTGTTGTCTATTTATATTTACATTAGCTATGTTTACATGCACAAAATTCTTTGTTCGGATTGAAATGTAACTGGCAGCACGGTGGCGCAACTGGTGGAGCTGCTGCCTCTCAGCGAGAAGGTTGCCGGTTCAAATCCCGGTCCGGGGGCCTTACTGGGTGGAGTTTGCAAGTTCTCTCGTACATGTGTGGGTTTTCTCCAGGTACTCCCACAGACCATAAACATGCAAGTTAGTCTGATTGGTAACTAATTTGTCCCTAGGTGTGAGTGAGAGAGTGCATGGTTGTTTGTCTCGTTTGTCTCTATGTGTCCCTGTGATGGACTGCAGACCTGTCCAGGGTGTCCCCCGCCTCTCGCACAGTGATTGCTGGACATGGGCACCGGAGACTCCAGTGACCCAAAATGGAAGAAACGGGTAAAGATAATGGATGGATGGATGGATTGAAATGTATTCGGATTAAATAATCCAAATGTATCATTTACATGGGCACAATCCGTTCACAACGAGAGTTTACATGCAGCGAGCTTTTATTCTGAATAGAAGTACTGACATGCAAAGAGTAGTAAACTCTCCTTAGCAAAAACACAGAAGAAGAAGTTCTATTCCATGATGAATGTAAACAAACCTGAGCGCCCAAAATGGACCCGCGACAGGTTTTAATGACGGTGGAGACGTTGCTGCACTCCCTGACTGAGCTACAGGTAATACAGATTATTTTGAGCTCGTTCAAAGTTTCTAGTAGAAATGTTGTGTCGCTCACTGACCAGTTTTGCTTCACGGACATATTAGCATCTAGTCACGCGGAAACACATGAGGTAGACGTAGGTTGCAAATGCACAGTCAGGTCAGTTTTCCATAATCGGAATAAAATGATCAGATTAAATATTTACATGCACACCATTCGGATTGTGAATCGGCATAAACCACCCCTCTCATTCGGATTACAAATTCATTCGGAGTGAGCTGCAGCTCAGAATAATCCGAACGGGGCGTTTACATGACACGTTTTTATTCTGAATGTCCGTGTAATCCGATTACTTATGTCCATGTAAACATATTGTTCCAGTACACGGATAACTGTAACATACAAATTAGATACAATAATATCAAAAAAGGTGAATACTTAGCTACAAAACAAAAACAAACAAATCATTAATGAATTTTGTGGAAATCTGTAAAAGAAGAACAACAGTCAAGATATCTAAAATGTTGATTGTTGTTAGCCCTTTTGATATTCTGAAACGTTCATTCTGACCAGCAGAAACTGCAATGTGAATAGTTGCCACACATAACTATACATTAAATATTAAAACAGCTAATTAAACTCTTTAAGAACTTTAAGTTATCCTGATGTATGCTCATAATCCAGGTAGAAAAATCCCAGAAAGTTAAATCTGGTCCTCTGGACATTGTTTTTTTTTTTTTTTTTGAATGTCCAGAGGACCAGATTTAACTCTTTTGGATTTAAGTTATATTAAACACTTTTTCATTATATCAGTTGTTCAAATTATATTGTTTATTAGTAGGAATGCTACTTTTGATTTTTGATTTATTTTAGGAATATCATTTTAGTATCCTGATGCATGCTCAATAGTCCAGGTAGAAAAACCTAAAAAAGTTAAGTCTGGTACTCTGGACATTCAAAATACACTTTTTTTTCTTTTTTTTTTTAAATCATTTTAGTAGATTTTGTTGATGTCTTGAAAAGTAATATGAAATGGCATGGTGGTTTGATTAAATGTTACAACAACCTGCCCTACTTTTATTTAGACAGCACAGTCTTGAAACATTCCACATGCTTTCATGTTAAAATGTTTTACAATTCAGTCCTAGCAGTTTACAATATTTAAGACCAATGTGATCATGTTCAATATTCTAAAATCATAATTTTACCGGTCTCCCGAAACATACTCCATTTTGACTGTTTTTACACATTTTGTTTGTGTTGCACTTGCATTTCTTTCATCCAGAACCTTTGACTTGTCTTTTTAATTTTGTTTTCAACTCGACGATGTGAAACACTGAAAACAAAACACCGGAAAATTAAATTAAGGTAGAAAAACATTCCGGAAAACAACAATAAGTAACAACAAAATAATAAAGAAAAAAATAAAACAGCAAAACACAAATAACCAAAAAAAAAACAAAATGTTGTTTGTGCACAGACAACAAATAAAAAAGTTTGTATTTCTAAAAAAAAAAAAAACCAATAAATTCTTTATTTATTGTGTTAGAAAGTGTTTTCAGATGCTAACGTCTCCTTATGGAGAGCAGAATGCTTTGAGTGTGTGTGTGTGTGTGTGTGTGTGTGTGTGTTGTTTGAGCCAGGCGTGTTGCTATTTCAGCAGACAGATGTTGAAAACAAGCGTGACGTTGGCGTGTGTGTTGTGCTGCCAGCTCCGCTCTCACAGACGACAGAAGCACAGAGACAGGTTTCCAGCTCAAGCAACAATCTGAACAATGTTTCCTCTCTGATAACGTGCAGTTTGTCTTTGCTGCTGCTGATCCCTCCAGCAAAGGCCGTGTAAGATTTCATTAAACGCACAAAACCAAGAGCTTCAGACATCTGTGGGGAAAAGAAAGAAGAAGAAATATGTTTAAATTACTTTATTTATCACCAGGATGATATAAAAAAAAATAAAAATCTATGTAGCAAGTTGAATTCAGCTTTTTCTTCCTAAATCTTCAAGTTGTTTTAAATCATTTTTCTCTGTGCTTTTCCAGACAAGCGACTCAGCGTGATGTGAAATGGTTCCCCCATATTTTTGGTGTGCTCCCACCACTCCCAGCAGGTTCACTTCCAGAAACAAACGACTGTTTTCAGTCAAAATAAACGTGATGTATTTGGCTGTGTTTCATTTGGCCTGCAGCAGACTGCGAAGTTTTATGACAATGGGAAAAAAGTGAAACTTTAAACCTCCGAGCCATCTCCATTTGTGTTGCAAGTGTAACATTATGGGTGATAAACTGGAAAAAAGAGCATTAACCTGTTCACCTCTCCTGCCTGTTACACTTGCATGTGGTCCATACTGGACATATTTTCTGCGGTTGGGGTTCTGAAGTCCTGCTAGTTCCTCTCTCAGGCTGAGCCAGCAGGTGTCCTCAAGCATGATGGACAACAGAGCTTATTCATGATCAGAACATACAGTACACATATCAGTTGAAAAAAGTACTTTTTGCATTCACTTTGACTTATTTCACTGCAGACTGACGCCACTTATATTGTTTATTTAATTTGCAAGTGAACACAAACTCCAAAAATGCTTTCCCAAAAGAATTTGGGACAAGGAAAACATGGAGCAGGTGGAACAGTGGCGCAGTTGAGCTGTCGCCTTTCAGCGAGAAGGTCGCCGGGTCGAATCCCAGCTGGGTGGCTCATTCTGGGTGGAGTTTGCATGTTCTCTCCGTGCATGCGTGGTTTTTCTCCGTGTACTCCGGTTTCCTCCCACAGACCAAAAACATGCATGTTAGGCTGATTAGTAACTCTAAATTGTCCCTAGGTGTGAGTGAGAGAGTGAATGTTTGTCTCGTTTGTCTCTATGTGTCCCTGTGATGGACTGGAGACCAGTCCAGGGTGTCCCTTGCACAGTGACTGCTGCTTATGGGCACCAGTGACCCCCCCGTGACTTGAAACAGAAGAAGCGGGTAAAGATAATCATAGTCAGGGATTTTATTGTCACTTCAGCTACGTACAGTGTTGAAATGAAACAGCGTTCCTCCAGGGTCACGGTGCAACACAGAACATTACGTGCAAAAACAATACAATGGATTAATACGCTGGACAATATGACAGATGACTGGATGGATGAAAACATAGAGGTTGTAATAAAAAGATTTGTTTTTAGTCGCAGTTTGGTCCAAAGAATTTCTGGTTTGTCAATAAATGTAAAAAAAAAAAAAAAAAATTTAAAATGACGTAGTTGTTTAATAAACGGTGCTACTCAAAGAAAGGACATTGTTGAACAATACCAAGAATTTCAATGAATTTCAATGAATTTCAATGCATAGAGGCTGAAACTGCTGGAATTAATCTCTGCCCACATCAAAGCTACCATTGACACCAGCGAGGACCTTCACCATGTATACTGCAAGAATCGATCAACAGACGACGCATCTCCTCTGAGGTCCACACTGCTCTTACCCACCTGAAACAGAAGGACTCCTACGTCCGTATGATCTTTGTGGACTTCACGTCTGCCTTCAACACCGTGATCCCACAAACCCTGATGGACAAACTACTCACACTAGGACTAAGCTCCTCCATTTGCAACTGGACTCATGCATTTCTAACCAGGATAATCACTGTAAGGAAAAAAAAAAATCACTGTAATGCCACTTTATTAGGTGATATGCGACTTATCTGTGCTGCTGATTATCCATGCTGCTGATCTCTTGCCTCTAAACAGC